ACTGTTCCAAAGGCTTCATGAAATAATAACTTTTGCGATTCCTTTCTAATTAATTATTTCTGATATTACTAGATGCTTGGTAAATTATGCACAAATTTACCAAATTTACATTCTAAGATGCTCTACTTTTTCTTTCCTATAGCCACAAACCATGCCCCAATGTTTTCATAAAGAAATTGATTGATAATATTAAGAAACTGGATGTGAAACCCTAATATTAAGTTTGCATGCCGATTCATCCACTTACTCAATAGAGGGAAGCCTTCCCATTGAACTCCATTGTGCACCTGCTTTCGAACTTCTTTTATTTAAGCATTTTTAATTAAACTTATTGAAAACAAAGAATAGAAAATTCAGCACAGGTAGCTCTAAATTTCCAAAAGAAGTTTTTCAACTAGTGGTAGAATTTTTGGTTAGAAACATCATCTACAAGACAGGATTGATCAAAAGGAGAATAGCTTGAGGTTGGGCAACATATCCAAACTCTTCAAGCCACAATCTCTGCTTCTGTCTCATTCATTGTGTCTAGCTGCTAGGGTTCAGTGAGAAAAATAAAATCAAAGGCTGTACATCATTTCTTTTCTTTGAATATCAGTTTATTTTTCCTGTTGGATCCAAAATGTCTAATAAAACTAGAGATACAATCAGTCTAGACTCTAGGACCAGGAAGGGTCTCAGAAGTCCAAATGAATAACCCTAATGGTCTCTCTGAAGACTCTGAGTTGTCCCTTCTTTAAACAAAAACATTAAAATAAGAAATATGGGTCTCTGATGAAATATTTGTCTCTCTGTCTCCCAGACTTTTCTGAGATGAGCCTGAAGTGACCATTTCATGATAATAGACCATAATTTGGCACTTCTGTTTAAGCACCAGTTCTCTCATGTTTGTTCTGTCAGTTGTTCCTCAAAATTTCCCATTCAGTAACACTTAGAAGGCTGCATTTACAGTAAAGAACTTTCTAAATACTTCTAAAGCTTAGCTCCAACACTGCTTATCTTAAAATAGAGACTTTATCTTATTAGGACACCAAAGAAGATTTCTTCTATGGAATGAATATCTACTTGCTTCTATATAAACAGGGTGTAAAAGGCATCAATGGATAACATCCTCTGTGTTTTCATTTGAGTCTAGTAGTCTTATGTTCTTACTTGGTACTGTCAAACATTTTCCCCCTTATGTCTGCCTTCAGTCCTATAAAGAATTACCATAGAACAGAAATTTTAAACGCGAGGTCTGTAATTTAATCACCAAAAATGTAAACTTTATGATTTACTACTAATTTCCTACTTGTGAAATAAAAGGTTTTTCTAAGAGACAAACAGATATGCCAGCTCTCCTTCTAAAGACAGAATGAGTGAGCATTGTACAAGTTGCCTTGTCAACTAGAGATCTGCACACAAGATTGTAGCACATCATTTTCACATGCAGAGAAACGGAATGTTCACTGTGTTTAACTCTGTATTGGGCAGAACAGAGCTTGTCTCCTATTGGCCCTTAGCCAGGTTAAGAATGAGCAGGAACACTGAGAATAGAATATGTTCTTCTTCCCAGAAAGTATAGATCATTGGTGATTCTAAAGGCAAGAATGGAGAAGCCCTTGGAAGCTTTATCCATGCTCCTATGTCTTCAGCTGAACTGTAAGTTCAGGGGCTTCTGGAAGGTCCATCACAAGTCTGGGGAAAGAGAGGAAAGTCATTCTGGGTTTCCCCAGGTTTCCCGTAGATACTCCACAAATAAAGTGTAAATTTAGAAAATGACTCAGTAACCCATCTTCAGTGCCTCAACAGTGGTGAGTGACCAAGAAAAAGATGTGGTACAGAGTCCTTCAATCCTAAATGTCTGGGAGAGGGAAACAGCTCTTATCAACTACAGTTATACAGACAGGGCTTTGAATTATTCCTCTTGGTACAAGAAGAAAACAGCAAAATCCCAAATGTCTATCAATTGATGACTTCATAAATAAAATATGGTATATTCATACAATGAAATATTATTAGGCGATAAAAAGTAATGAAGTACTGATTCATGATACAAAATGGATGAAACTTGAAAACATTATACTAAATGAAAGAAATCAGTCCCAAGAGGTCACATATTTCATAATTTCACTTACATGAACTATCCAGAATAAGAAACTCTACAGAGACAAAAAATAGATTAGTGGTTGCCTAGATGGGGTTTTATGGGGAGAAATGGTTTGCAACTGCTAATGGGTACGGGGTTCCTTTGTTAGGATGATGAAATGTTCTAAAATTGATTGTGGTGATAGTTGCACTATTCTGTGACTATACCAAAAACCATTGAATTGTACACTTAAAATGGGTGAATTGTAAAATGTGTGAATTATATCTTAATGAATCCACTACATAAAAACAAACAAACCATATGAAAAAGTACCACTGTATTCATTGTTCTTCTCTGGACTCAGTCTGGATTCTCCACACCATTTGAATACCACTGGATAAGAAGTTCTAATGTTGGTTTGACTTTTGCATAATATAACTAGATTACATAAGGACTTCTACATTTCATAGTTCTTTTAGCAATCCCAATACTTTTTATTTATATATTTATGCCAGCACTGAATTACTATTGTCAGTTTCTATTCTGACACATTTATAATCTGGCACAGATTGTAAATAGTTATTCTATTGTACGAATAGTTATTTCATTATGCGACTATATGACTGTTGTGTAATATGCTGTGATATTCCCAAACCTAGGCTTTCCCTATTCTAGATTTGTGAATTTTTCTTTTTTGGGGGGATGGAGAGTGAAGGTTGGAGTACTATTTGAATTTTGCCCACAGGTCTATACTTTGCATTTACCTTTAATTTTGGATAATTTTGTTCAATTGGTTTCCAGAAAATCAGAATGTTTTATTTGGAATAATTTGAAGAGTATTCCATATAATTTCTCCTAGTAACGTGGTGAATAAATGTTAATTGATATATTCACCCAACAAATTATTAAGTGCTTAATCTGTGCCAAATCCTTTACCACACAATGAATAACATGGATTTTGGTAACTTCTTTCAAACATGGGAAGAATCAGATACCATGAAAAGTAAAAGAAATACAATAATTGAGAAAATATCACAGAAATAATTCTAAAATCCCAATGGGACTGAAAATAATTCAGTCTTTCTTAGAGCATTGTGGTAGGAAGCGCTTCACTGAGCCTTGCCACTAGAGGGAGGTAGCACATCGAAAATGTCTTCAGACCTGAAACAAACTGAAAAATTATTAACTTAACTTCAATTCTAGTTCTAAGTAAAGGAGTCACAATATGGGGCTGGTACAGCCGCAAATCCAAGCTCCTTCCACGGTGAGGGAGACACAGTCATTGAGTTGTACAAAGAATGTATGCTCATTCCTTTTGCCACCTTATACTTCATAATCTCTTCTTGAATGTGCGCGCATCTTCTAAGATATATGTATAAGCCCCTTCCCAAATGCAGAGCAGAGCTGACCCCACAGGGAAAGAAAAGAGAGGTGATTAATACATAGTTCAATTTTAAATGGTGAAATATTTGTTGCCATTTGTTAGACCGACAAGCTTAGTTATTTAGCAGAGAAGGATGAGTAATTTTAATTTTATTCCTTCTCATTTCTTTGTATTTATTTTTTTCAGAGACAGGGTCTTTCTCTGTTGCCCAGGCTAGAGTGCAGTGGCCCAATCACAGCTCACTGTAACCTCAAAATCCTGGGCTCAAGCAATCCTTCTGCCTCAGCCTCCTGAGTAGCTGGGACTACAGGCACAAGCCACCCAGGCCAGGCTAATTTTTTTTTATGTTTTGTAGAGATGGTTCCTTGCTATGTTGCCCAGGCTGGACTTGAACTCCTGGCCTCATGCAATCCCCCTGCCTCATTCTCCCAAAGTGGCGGGATTACAGGCCTGAGCCACTACACCCAGCCCCCATTTGTTTAATAACCACTTTTGAGAATAACTAGGGAAATTCTTTGGTTCTTATACCTCTCTTGTCAAATGGCAGCATTTCATTCCCCTCTCTAAATCTTCTCTTCCCATCTCTTTCTTTCTCTTTAATGTCCTCAATGCATGCCACTCCTAGGCATGAGCATGGATATGAGAAAATATGTGTTAAAGAGGAGTTTATGTGGGGTACAAATAGGTACCACTCAAGTCATTGGCTCCTGTCTCCAAACCAGAGGCACCCAGCAATATCCCTCTAGAAGACACTTAACACACAATTCTAGGAGCCAGTGTGGGAGACCTGAATGCCAGGAAGCTTGGCTTTTACCCTGAGTTCTAACTTTATCTTTTCCTGTCATCACACTGAGCACAGCAATATTATGCAACTATGAAATTTTTTTTGTTATCTATATGTTGCAAGTATTTTCTTTTACAGTGTCATTTGATTTTTAACTTAGCTTATGGTGATTTTTTGGACCAGAAAGAAGTTTCTAACTTTTGAAATTTGATTATGTATCACTGCTTCTAAAACTTACTTGCTCTGGAGATATGGATAGCAATTCTCCTCCTTACAACACAAGGCTCATGTAGATTTCTTAAAATAAAGGGCATTTCCTACCAGCGCAATGGAGCATTAAACTCCCAACTAGTGGTGCGTTTTTGCCCTTACCACAAATAAGAGATGGATGATCTCACTGTGAAGGGTTTTACTCATTTAGACACAGCCTACTTAAGCTTGAACCTTGAGAATGATCTCAGTGGAAACCTTCCAAATTAGGGCTAAACACTGGGAAAAGCATTCTTACTCTCTTTTTCAAGTTTTGTTTTAATTGAAAAATAATAATTGTATCTTACCCTCTTTTTAAATGCATGTTTAAGCCTTGGGGTCAGGATAGACCTAACCAGGAGGCTGCTCCCTTTAGTTGACACCTGGCTGGGGAGCACTCAGAATGAAGGCTGGCTGGCGTGAGGATGTGTGGTGGCTGCGCTTTGCTGCTTGAGACCTCCCCCAACCTAGCATCAGACGCAGGTCCTGAGCTCTGAGGCCTGGAACCTCAGTGTGCACTGGAACTATGAGGTTGGTGACAGCAATTACTGTACTCCTAACTTTGGGTAAGTATTCTGGGCCTAAGAGAGGCTGGCTTTTGTGGCAAAGACAAAAGAGAGGTATCTGCTATCTCCACTTCTCGCACTGTGATTTACCAATTGCTGGAAAGAATTTGTGCCTATGTGTTTCTCTAGAGAATTTGAGCATCAGTGTGAGAGGCTGGTCATACCCATGACTCACAGAGGATCCCCCAAGTCTCACAGCTCTCAGGCTGTAAGGAGTTTGGGGTTCATTGAACTCAAGGGCTATGGAAGGTGGGCCATTTATCTTTGGCCTTGTGGCTCCAGATTGCTCAGGAATAAATACCAGTAATATTTCTCTTGTCCTGTGCAACACACATGAAAATACTCAAGTATGGGGTAGGGGCCAGGGAGGAGATTTCTGGGAGTGTTTATAAAACTGACCTTCAGGTGCACCGAGTTGTGACAATCCAGAGTTAATCCATTGTTTCTCAACCCCTCAGGCATCATGGGTGATGCTAAAACAACCCAGCCAAATTCAATGGAGAGTACTGAAGAAGAACCTGTGTACTTGCCTTGCAACCACTCCACAATCAGTGGAAGCGAGTATGTATATTGGTATCGACAGATTCTCCTCCAGGGTCCAGAGTACGTGATTCATGGTCTAAAAAGCAATGTGACCAATAGTATGGCCACTCTGGCCATCTCTGCTGACAGGAAGTCCAGTACCTTGATCCTGCCCCGCGTCACCCTGGGAGACACTGCCGTGTACTACTGCATCGTGAGAGACCACAGTGGCACAGATGGGGCTGCACCTGTGCAATATCTCCCAGAGCGGAAGGGAGCAGCAGCAGCCTTCTAAAGAGGCCACTGCACAAGGATGAGCAGGAGCTCAACAGAGGAAGGAGAAAATAAGGAGAAACGGGGAAAGAAGTAAAGAGAAAATGGTGAGGAAATCAAGGAGGAGCAGACTAAAGGAATGAAGAGATTGAGGAAGAAGAGCTGACTAAGTCCCAAAGAGGTCCTGGAGAAAGCACTGAGAAGCTTGCCAGGAGACCAAAATTCACAATTGCAGTTCTTCAATGAAGAAGACAGAAAATGAGACTATTCCAGGACCATTTCTTCTAAACAAATGTTGCAGTGTAGGTCTCACTATAAAAGGTGAGAACAACCTTTTGGTTGTCCCAAAAGCTTTCTGCATCTGGACCCAGGGAAGTGCTTAGGCTCTGGATATTACATCATATTAGTCCTTCTAACCTCTCTAAAATCGAAATGAAGTTTGGTGATTGATTCATTTGCTCTTTAGAAAAATTTGAAATTTTCTTTGTTGCTCATCAGTAGCACAAACTCTTGGAATACAGATAATATTTGGAAGGGAACAAAAAAGGAACAGATATGTGGATATTAATTTCATTTTTAATCTATGTTGAAATGTTTTTATTATTACACAAAAATACACAAATCTTTTTTCACTGTAAAACACACAAGCTATTACACAAGTATGTGAGGTAAAACCTGAAAGCCCCAAACCGACTCCACCCATTTCCTCCTCGACTCCTGATAATGACCCATTTTAACAGTTTGGGGTGTGTCCCCACAATCATATTCCTTTTTATTAACACTGATACTCATATAAGCAGATACCCAATTTTATTACACAAGTTGGATCATACTATGTGTATTTTTCTGCAGCTTGTTTTTATTTTTTTATTTAAAAATAGTTCTTTTGAGGTGTGATCATACCAGGATGCCTGTGTCTGTGTGTGTGTGTGTGTGTGTGTGTGTGTGTATAAAGTGACTTTATTCTTTTCAATACCTGCAAAAATCTTCATAGTATGGTTGTATAATAACTTAACTTGCTTGCCTATTAATAATATTTAAACTTTTTACTGTTCTTAGTTGTCATGTTAAAATGATTTTATGTATTTCTTATAGTCTCTTATAGTTTCCTAGAAGTGTAATTGGTGGGTCAAAGGATAAGCCTATTTTATATTTTTATAGATATTGAAAAGTTGCATTCCAAAATGGCTCTAATAATTTTCACTGCTAGGAACAGGGTAAGGGAAATCTACTTCCCTGCATCTTAATTAATACTATTATCAATCTTTTTAGATTTTAGATAACTTGAAAGTATTTTGTGAGTATTTTCATTTGCACTTTTATGATTACCAGTGCAGTTAAACAACTTTCCATGTTTTTGGCTCTTTATGATTCCACTTTTGTAGCATATTGAATAATATTATTTAAGCAGTTCCTAATAGATTGTCTTTTTTTATTTGTAAAAATTCTTTTAATATTATGTATATTACTTTGCCTGTTACATATATTGTAAGTACTTTCTCTAAATATATCTTTAAAATGTGTTTATTCAACTTTTATCCTGATATTTTTACTTATATATTACCAAATCTAAGCCTTATAAGGCATATTTTCCTCATTCTAAGTTGACAAATATAAATCCCAACATTTTCTTCTAATCAAGAATATTCGTTTATTCAACCTAATCTGGTGGGGACTTGAGAACCCTGCTAGAATTTAGATACTTGACAAGGGGAGACAGGACTCTTGATTAAAATGCTAGGCTCCACAATTCTGCATTTCACCTGAAGAAGGGCTGCTATACTCTTGGATGATTAGGGACTGAGGACTCTGTTCCAGTTCTTGGCTACTGACCCCTGTTCAAAAAGATAATGTAAAGAAAACACAGGTTATTATAAGATCTTCGTGGTCATAGACAGATGGTGTTTTTCTCCCTCTTCCCACATCCCCCAGGCAGCAGCATCTTCACATAAACAAAAATATTGTCCATTTTTTGTAACACATATCTGGCTCTTGAAAGGGCCTTCGCAGGACAGAAGATGTCCTGGGATGTCAGTTTCTGCCCTCAAGATGCCGTCATCATCTCATAACTCTCCCAGACTAACGACATACTCACAGGCTAATTGCAATCCCAACATCCCTACGAGTACTTGCAGAGGAGTCTCCATCCCTTGGCTCTTCAGAAAACACAGCCAAATTGTTTTTTCCTGAATGGGCTTCCCCAGAAGATACTACTTTGCTCATTGGTGCAAGAGACTACACCAACCAGAGACCATACCTGGATTCCGATTTGTTCAGCACTGCACAAACTTAACCCAAATACTTTTTAAACACTGCCACCCTTTGGTCAGACCGAGAAATGTTGGATAATGGACGACCTTTCTGGAGTTAATTTATATATGAGATACATCTATTTATTGCAAGAAAGTTGTCATTTATCATGAGATATAGAAAATATCCTGTTACTTTTGCATGATTGAGAAAGTTTCCCCTTCATAATTAGGAGAAAGTGAAAAATTCTACTCTCTGTAGAACAGAGTAATTTTTTTTCAACATTTGTCTCTGTCTGCTTTTTGATTTCAGCCATTTAAAATTACTTTGTTGAGGTATACTTCACATATAATAAATTGCCCTGGTGAGGGCTTTCTTGCTGGCTTATAGAAGGCCTCCTAGCTGTGTCCTCACATAGTAAAAGGATTGAGCAAAGATCTCTGGCATCTTTTTTTAGAAGGACACTAATTCCATCACAAGGATCCTACCCTCATGACTTCACCTAACCTTATTTACCTCACAAAGGCCCTATCTAAATTACCATCATGTTGGAGGTTAGGGCCAATATATAAATTTTGGGGAACACATTCAGTACACAACAGAGATTCATCCGTGTCTTTGCATTTCTTTTAATTGCCGAATAGTATCCCATTTTGTAGATACACCTGTTGATGGACATTTGGGTTATTTCCAAATACTATTTTCTAAGCTACTGTATAAATATTTATATATAAGTGTATGTATGGACATATAAGTTTTTATTTATTTGTGCTAATGCCTAGGAGTAGAATTTCTGGGTTATATGATAGATTCATGTTTAACTTTTTAAGAAACAGTGGAACTGTTTTCTGAAATGGTTGTGCCATTTACATTCCCAGTAGCAGTGTATGAGACTTTTAGTTGCTCTACAATGTCACCAAAACTTGGTATGGTTAGACATTTTAGATTGCAGAGCAACTGAAACTCTAATAACCCAGCTGGGCAGTTGGTTTTCAGCAAAAATACCACAATAATTTGTAATGAACTAAACATTTGTGTTCTCCCCAAATTTATGCATTGAAACCCTAACCCCCAGTGTGATGGTATTAGGGTGGTTGGTGGTTTGGGAGGTGATTAGGTCCTAAGAATGGAGCCTTCATGAATGGGATTATAAAAGAAACCCCAGAGAGCTTCTTGCTCTTTCCTCCATGTGTGGACACAGCAAAAAGACTGTGGTCTGTGAAGCAGGAAGCAGACCCTCACCAGACATGAGATCTGCCAGCTCCTTGATCTTGGACTTGCCAGCTTACAGAACTGTAAGAAATACGTTCTGTTTAAAAGCCAACTAGTCTGTGGCTGGGCATGGTGGCTCACGCCTGTAATCCTGGCACTCTGGGAGGGCGAGGCGAGTGGATTGCTCGAGGTCAGGGTTTCGAGACCAGCCTGAGCAAGAGCGAAACCCCGTCTCTACTAAAAATAGAAAGAAAATTAGCTGGACAACTAAAAATATATAGAAAAAATTAGCTGGGCCTGGTGGTGCATGCCTGTAGTCCCAGCTACTCTAAGGCTGAGGTACAAGGATTGCTTGAGCCCAGGAGTTTGAGATTGCTGTGAGCTAGGCTGACACCACGGCACTCTAGCTGGGCAACAGAGTGAGACTCTGTCTCAAAAAATAAATAAATAAATAAATAAAACCCAACCAATCAATGGTACTTCATTATAGCAGCTTGAACTGATTAAGACACAATTCAATGAGGAAAGGATAATCTTTTCAATAAACCATGCAACGGTTGTATGGTCATATTTGAAAATATGAATCTCAATGCATAGCTAATGCCATATAAAAATTAACTCCAAATGGATTATAGATCTAAAAGAAAGAGCTAAATTATAAAACTTCTCAAATAAAACATTGGGGAAAATGTTAAGTACCTTGGGTTTGGCCAAGATTTGTTAATTATGACGCAAAGAATACAAAACATAAAATTAAAAATTCAATGCACTGGAGTTCATAAAAATAAAAATATTTACTCCCCAAAAGACACCATTAAGAAATAGAAACAAAAACCTGGGAGAAAATCTTTGCAAAACATATATCTGACAAAGGATCTGCACCTATAATATATAAAGAATTCTTACAACTCAAAAGTAAGACAAACACTCACTTTTAAAAATGGACCAATGATTCGAATAGAAAATTCCCCAGAGAAGACCTATGTATGGTAAATAAGTACACAAAATAATGCTCAGCATCATTAGTCATAAGGAAATACAAATTAAAACAGCAATGTGATACCACCACATACCTACTATATTGACATGTTATATTGTTTTCTTTTTATCATTTCATTAGTGTCTAATTTTAATGGAGAATAACTTTAATATTTCTCTAATATTTAATATCTAATATTTTCTTCCTCTGTTTGCTTTGAGTTGAGTTTTCTCTCCTTTTTTAGTTTCTCAATGTGACAGCTTAGGTTTGAGACCTTTCTTCATTTCTAATATAAACATCTGGTGCTTTATATTCCTCTCCAAACAGTGTTTTTGTTGCATACACTTAATTTTGCTATCTAGTTACTCTGTGGATTACTAAGAGTAGGTTATTGAAATCTCTAGCTAGTAATGTTGAGTTGACTATTTCTTCCTGAAATTCTGTCAGTTTTGCTCCATTAACTTTTAGGCTCTATTTTTAGGGGAGCATGTGTTTATAAATGTTATATTCTCTTGACACTATTCTATATGACACTTTTTGTCATTATAAATGTCCTTCTTTGTCTCCAGTAACAATTTTTG